AAGGGGGTAAGACATGACTCTGGGGAAAGCTCAGCCCGACAGGATTTTCCTCTTCCTCACTTTCTCCGCCTGGCAAATCAAGGTGTCCCATTCCCAGTCAGTGCTGGGGCAATCACAGTCGGTCAATATTCTCTTTGTGGAGCCCACTGTCAGCATGATGTTGCTATAGTTACCACAATTCTAACTCAACCCTCTCTCCATATGTTCCCCTCTCTTTCAAACCAAATTACCTTGGACTAATCCTGCAGCACATCCTGTGAGGACCCTCCTAGGAAGTGAGCTTCTAACAGGGCTTCTGAGGAGGCAGAAACCTCCAGCTGCTATATCCTGCCTTCACGACAGGGCAGACCAGGTGTCTGTTCCCCCCATTGCCACTGAGTCCTGCAATCCACCTCCCACTCTTCCTGGGGATAAACCCACCAGAGCCTGTAGCAGGTGTGCTGTTGGGGTCCCATCAGCATCTGTACTGTGACCCATCAAGATAAGCTGATGCATGGGCAGCTCCTATGGCTCAGTGAGTAGGTCGCCGGCCCCATATACTAAGGGTGGTGGGTTCAAACTAGACCCAACCACAAAAACAACAAAAAAAATAGCCAGGTATTGTGGCAGGTGCCTGTAGGCCCAGCTACTTGGGAAGTTGAGGCAAGAGAATCATCTAAGCCCAAGAGCTAGAGGTTTCTGTGAGCTGTGACGCCACAGCACTCTACTGAGGGCGACAAAATGAGACTCTGTCTCTAAAAAAAAAAAAAAAGATAAGCTGATAAAGAAAAAGCCAAAGTCAAGAAAATTAAAATGGCCTCAGAGACATTGGCCAACTGTCTTTGGGGTCCTCTAGAAAATATTTTCATCAGCCTTTGTGTTCTGTGCTATCATTTCAGCACACTGGTCGATACTTGGCATTTATTTTTCTGTTTACTGCTATCTCCTGCACTACAACACATTCTCCACAAGGGCAAGGAGCTCACCTTGTCCCAGATGAATCTCAGGCACTGAGGGAAGTTGGTGAGTGAGTGAATGAATGAATGTACCTGGCCTAGCATTAGAGGGTAGGTTCTGCCACCAATGTCCTGTGTTCTCAAAGTCTTACCAAAATTGCTGGAAGCACATCTAAAAATAATGAGACTATGAGTTTGCCACCAAAAATGTGAGTTAATCTGCCAAGGTGCTGTGTTCTCATTTCTTGGGCATTATGTACATGTATGTTGGAAGCATATTCGTGTATGAAAATTAAACATGGAGGTTTATATTAGTCACCAAGCGCCAAGGCCTTTGGATATTTTAGCAAAGCCTGGCAAACTGTTAAACTGGCCACACATAAATTTGTCTCTTTCTTGCTCTGTGCCATTGCAGTGTGCTGCAGATGGTCTTATCAGGAGGTAGTGTTTATTTCTCCATCTCTTGACCCTGAGCTGGTTTTGTGATTTTCTTTGGCCATTAACAGACCAAGGCATGAAATCAGCTAACACGCTGGGGCTTGCCTGCTCGCTGCACTTGGGAACCCCAGGACTGCCAGCCTATGAAGAAGCCCAAGCTAGCCTTATGGACATTAAAACACATGAGGTTCTGTTGCCCTAGCCAATGGCCAGCCTACTGCCAGACTATGAGTGGAAGCCACTTTAGATCACCTAAGCTGACCCATGAGAAAGTCCAGCACAAATCAGCTGAGCCACCTTAGAGTAGGAAAACTGCTCAGCTGATCTAAGAATCATGAGCTAAATAAATGGTTACTCAAAGCCACTAAGTTTGGAATAAATTGTTACACAGCAAAAACTACTAATAGAGACAGAAAAATAAAACATTCAAAGACATTTAATAGAAACAAATCTACCTGCTATTTTCAAAATGATGCTGACTTCATATAGGAAGATAACTGCAGAGTTCTGTGGCCCAAATTTTAAATAGAATAATGATGCTTTGGGGCTAATCCCCACCCCTCACTTTCTCATCCAAAACATCTGAACAACATGAAGAATTTCCATGATTTCCAGGTGAAATCAAAGGCAAACTTTGTACCCATGGGATAGAATTCACCCATGAGTTTAAAAAGACCTCAAGAGAATGAGAAGACAATTAATAGACAGAGAGAAAATATCTGCCAAAGACACATCAAATAAAGGACTTGGACCCAAAATATACAAAAAACTAATAGGACTCAATGATAAGAAAACAACCCAATTAAAAAAATGGACAAATGATTTGAACACCTCACTGAAGAAGATATGCAGATGGCAAATTAAGCATACGGAGAGATGTTCACCATCATCTGTCATTAGGGAAATGCAAATAAAACAGCCATGAGACACCACTGCACACCTACCAGAATGGCCAAAATCCAATACCGAATACTGGGGAGGATGTGGTTCTATAGGAACGCTCACTCATTGCTGGTGGGAATGCAAAATAACACACTCAGTTTGGAGAACAGTTCGGCAGTGTCTTACAAAACTAAACATGTTGTTACTATATGACCTAGCAGTCGTACCTGCTTGGTATTTACCCAAATGAATTGAAAACTTTTGTCCACATAAAACTGTTTACATCAGTTTTACTCATAATTGCCAAAACTTGGAAGTAACCAAGACACCCTTCAGAAAATAAACAGATAAACTGTGGTATATCCAGATGATGAAATATGTTTCAGCACTTAAACAGAAACCATGAAAAGACATGTAGGAACTTCCAATGCATATTAATAAGTGGAAGAGGCCAGTCTGAAAAGGTTACATAGTGTGTGATTCCAACTATACAACATTCTGGAAAAGGAAAAACTATGGAGACAGTAAAAAGATGAGTAGTATCCAGGGGTCCTGGGTAGGGAGGGGTGAATTGGCAAAGCACAGATTTTTAGGGCAGTGGAGCTATTCCATATGATATCATAAAGCTAAATACACGTGATTACACATTTGTGGAAACCCGTAGACTGTTCAAAGTGAGGACTGAACTCTAACATAAACCATGAACTTTGGGTGATAATGACGTTGTCAGTGTAGGTTCATCGACTGTAACAAACGTACCACGGTGGTACAAGTAGATAGTGGGAAAGGCTGTGTGTGGTGGAGCAGGGGCGATGAGGACGGGTACAGGGGAGCTCTCTGCAGTTTCAGTCCAATTTTGCTGTGAACCTAAAACTCTAAAATATAAAGCTCATTTAAAAAAAGAAAGGTTTTTAAATCAAAACTGATATGAAGTACAATAAAGTTAAATAAGAATCATGGTTTATGAGAGCAAGAAAACCGAAGTCAGCAAAAATTCACCCATGGAAAAATAAATTAAAATATAATTGCTCATATGTTAGAGTACTCTATGGCCATTAAAAATGATAAAGTAAAAAGCTTTGGTAACAAACTTGGTAACAAATTTATAATATGATCCCATTTATGTAAAAAACTATGCAAATATAGATAGAAATACAGTAGAAGAATTGTACTAAGATATTACGTGGCTATCGTCTCAGTGATAATGTAAGTAGGGTTAGTTTTACTTTCTTTGTTTCCTGACTTATGTTTTCTAAATTAATTTCAATAACCATCTTACACCTTTTTCTTCTTTAATGATGTGTAATTAAAAATCTTGCAGTTTTTGGCCGGGGCTGGGTTTGAACCCGCCACCTTCAGTATATGAGGCCGGCATCCTTCTCCTTGAGCCACAGGCACTGCCCTGTAATTAAAAATCTTAAAATTCACTTATTTAAAGTCTATAAATTCAACGGTTTAATATACTTAGAGTTGTGCAACAATCACCACTATGTAGGTCAGAACATTTTCATCACCATCCTCAAATCCTGTACCTATTAGCAGCCACTCCCCCTCTCCCAGCCCTCACCTAGGCAACCACAAATCCACTTTCTCTATAGATTTACCTAGTCTGGACATTTCACACATAGGGGTTCATACAGTATGTGGTCTTTTGTAACTAGCTTCTTTCACTTTAGTATACTATGTTCAAAGTTCATCCATGTTATAGCATCAGCATTTTATTACTTTCTATTGCCAAATACTATGTCATTATATGAATATGCCATATTTTATTTATCTCTTCATCACTTGATGGACATTAAGGTTGTTTCTAATTTTTGGATATTACGACTAAGGCTGTTATTAACATTAATGTACAGGTCTTTATGAGACATATGCTTTCATTGCTCTTGGATACATGCTTAGGAAGGCAATTGCTGGGTCATTTTGAAGAATTATCTGTATAGCATTTTTGTAAAAAGAAAAAAGGTATAAAAATGAAAATAGAGGCCTCTTAGCTTCATTAGACTAGTTCCGAGGTCTTCTTTTTTTTTCTTTTTTGAGACATAGTCTCACTCTGTTGCACTAGGCTAGAGTGTCATGACATTAGCCTAGCTCAAACCAAACTCAAACTCCTGGGTTCAAGTGATCCTCTTGCCTCAGCCTCCTGAGTACTCACTGGGACTACAGGTGTGTGCCACCATGCCCAGCTAAGTATGTATGTATGTATTTGTAAGTGTGTTGCTTTTGTTCTTTTAGTAGAGACAGGGTCTTACTCTTACTCTTACTCCTGAGCTCAAGCAATCCACCCGCCTCAGCCACCCAGAGTGCTAGGATTACAGGGGCAAGCTACTATGCCTGGCCCTGGGTCTCCTTAAGTCTAATCTGCCAACTGATACAAGGCAAAGAGACTACCCACTTCTACCTCAGCCAAAGAGGATGCTTAGGGATTCTGCCCCAGAGGCCTCTGATTTAAAAGTAGTGGGTCAGGGCTCAGTGCCCATAGCACAGTGGTCATGGCGCCAGCCACCTACACCAAGGCTGGCAGATTTGAACCTGGCTTGGGCCTGCTAAACAACAATGAAACTGTAACAAAAAACTAGCCGGGCAGGTGCCTGTAGTCCCAGCTACTTGGGAGGCTTAAGAGAATTGCTTAAGCCCAAGAGTTTGAGGTTGCTATGAGCTGTGATGCCATGGCACTCTACCCAGGGCAAGAGCTTGAGACTCTGTCTCAAAAAAAAAAAAAAAAAAAAATGTAGTGGGTCAGTGCTCGCTTTGGCAGCACATATACAAAAACTGGACAATACAGAGAAGATTAGCATGGCCCCTGTGCAAGGATGACATGCACATCTGTGAGATGTTCCATATTTTTCAAACAAATACACACCCACCAAGAAAAAAACTCAATTCAAGTTGGGGGAAGGAGGGGTGGGGGAAGTGGACTGGTGTGCTCCCACCTAATGGGCACAATGTAAGGGTATATGGCACACCTCCTGGGTACAGGACAAAACTACAACAGGGACTTCACCTAACAAATGCAAACATTATAACCTAATCGTTTGTACCCTCATATTAATGTGAGAGGAAAAAAAACAGTGAGTCATCCACACATTCCAGTCATTAAAGCTGGAAGGGATCAGGGTTATCCTCCAGTCCAGTAGCTCCTGGGCCTGGCAGAATATTTTACATGCAAATCCCTAATCACCACCCCTAGACATACTGCCCAAATCTCCAGGGAGGCAGGATGATTAGGGGATGCATATTCTTAACAAGTCTCTGGGTGACCAGGCCACCTTTAGGGATCAATAAGATTTGGGAACCACTGCTCTAATCCATCCTGTCCAAAGCATCACTCCCGAGAGATGGTAATGAAACATATGAATCATTGCTTGAGCTCAGGAGTTCCAGACCAGCCTGAGCAAAAGTGAGACCCCATCTCTAAAAATAGCTGGGTATTATGGCAGGTGTTCATAGTCCCAGCTACTCAGGAGATCACTGGACCCCAGGAATTTGAGGTTGCTGTGACTATGAGGCCACAGTACTCTACCAAGGGCAAAAATAAAACTCTAGCTCAAAAAAGGGAGAAGAGAGAAGAGAGGAGGGTAGGGGAGGAGAGGAGAAAAGAAAAATCTGAATTATACCAGTATCAGGAAGTTGACAATCTGGGCTCCAGCCACTTCCACTGCTGAACTCTCCAACTGGACCTACTATTGTTGTTCACTTAGAATCAATAAAGATAAAGTCTATTCCCTTTATTATCAGTCTGCTCTTCGAAGATAGGAACCTGATTGCCCTTTCCTCCTACAAGATAAATATGCCCAGTTGTTTCAATCATTTCTAGGCATGTCCCCACAGCCATCACCCTCTCTGTCCCCACCATTCTATTCAGGTTTCTCATCAGACATGGTGGTCATGGTACAGCTCAAGGCTCCAAGTCAGCCAACTCCAGATGGAAGAACAGAGGGGGAAGTACCTCCTATGTGCATTTTCATAAATATGGCTGAAGATATCTTTTCTAAGCTATAGTAACATTATTCATTCAACCAATGTTTGTTAAAAACCTACAACATGAAAGGACCTAATTTGGTTCCAGGGAATATGAAATATCAGGAATGGCTGGCCCTGGATTCAGGTGGTTGACATAGCAATGTCAAAATGTAAAGAATTCTAAGGTAAGGTGAAATGCAGTGGTTTCAAAAGGAAGGGAGTGATACCTAGCTGATGGTTTTACAGACAGTTCCACAAAGCTGATGGCATTAGAATTTGGCTGGGAAGGCTGAGTAAGGGTTTCAACAGTGAAGACTGGGGGTGGAGGAGGGTCTCAGTAGAGGGTGGGCTAGAACAAAGAAACACAGAGTGTGATCGGGAAGTCCACACTTGACAGGGAATTGTAGGGACGCTCTCAACTTGTATTAAACTCAATTTTTCATTAGAATTGTTACTAAAGCAGGTATTCTCCTTCAGTATTATTGAGTTTTTTGAACTTAAATGCAATTTTTTTTTGATATTTAAACATATGCCTATTACATTTTATTGGGCTGCTTTTAGTCCAACATTCACAAACTAAGAGGCAGTGAGATTGGAAGGGGTTTAAGATGTCAGGGAACCCTACCCCAAAAAGAAAGAAAATTAGATCAGTGATTTTTCAGTTACTTGTTTTCTTTTTTCTTTTCTTTCTTTCTTTCTTTTTTTTTTTTTTTTTTTTGAGACAGAGTCTTACTGTCTCAGTCACCTGGTAGAGTGCCATGACATTGTAGCTCACAGCAACCTCAAAGCTCTTATATAATTATTTCCATTTCCCACCCTTCTAAATATCAAACACGTTGGAAAAACCCTAAAGATCAAGCCCTCCAACTTGGTGGGACCCTGCGATACCCAGCTATCTCATTAAACATTACTTGTAGGTATGCCTAGAGGATGTCTCTGGAAGATTTTAGCCATGCAAATGGGTGCACTGGGTAAAGCAGGTGGCCTCCCCCATCGGGCATTACTAATCACTGAGGACCTGAAGGCAGGAACAATGGTGTACACTCACTGCCACTCCTTGGAATGTGTTCTTTTTCAAAATTCAGTGCTATGTATTTAGGACCCAGACTAGAATCTACACTACTCGAAATCTATACCCTTCGCCCCCTAGCCCTTTGAACCCACTCCATCAGCTTTCCTGGGTCTCCAGCTTGCAGACAGCAGACTGTGGGACTTCTCAGTCTCATAACCACGTGAGCCAATGCCTTGTAAGTCTCTTTGTTTATGTATACTTTTAGTACATGTATAAAATCTATTGATCCTGTTTTACTGGAGGGACCTAACTAGTAGACCTCCGCCTTGTCATTCTGTGGCACACAGTGAATGCTATAAAGCACACTATTTTTAAAAACTGCATTTGTCACAGGATTTTGAAACCACAATCATTCCTTTCCCCCTCTCTTCCTCTGCACAAGACTCTAAGTTCACTTGGCCCCATGATCTTCCCCAGAACAGCACACTTGCATCTCCCCTTATTAGCCTTAAAAGGCTCCAGTGATTTGGGGTCTTTCAGCACCCCTGAGGAAGTTGGACAATGAAGAGAAATTATTGATGACCTTGGAAAGGCCAGGGGACGGGCATTCATTTTTAATGACTGCGCTCCTCCCCTTGAGTCAAAGGGAATCAATTCTTCCTGCCTGAATTTCCTCCATTCATCATGTTCTCACAGTGGCTGACACACAGTAGGAACTCAATATTTATTGATTTATTAAATAAATTTTTAAAGGTCTAACTTACTTGGATAACTAGATTTTGTACATGAAATAAAATATGGATATCTGAGAGAACAGGACAAATTGAAGGAAGAAAAAAGTACAGATAGAAATTAAAAGTCAAATTCTTTTTTTTATTAACCCACTACCCAAACTGTCCACAAGTTCAGTCTTCTTGAAAGCATCTAGGAAGACCCTCTGGCTTTCTAGTTCCACTCAGGGGCAAATACTCTTGGCGCCCAGAGCCAATAGTCACTTAATGGCCCAGCCCCAGCTTCCTGGCTGACAGTCCCTCCAGACTCAGATAACCACGACTCTTGACAGTGACATGGGTCTGGGACTCAGCCCTGGCGAAACTCCGCTTGGGGGTTCTGGGAAAGGTTTTACTTGCTGTTAAAAAGGAATACATGGGAGGAAGAAAAAAATGCCCCTGTTCTTCACAGCTATCACCATGTGTCCAGGAGATGCCTGGAACTGCTGCAGCCCCCTTGTGACCAGGCTCACAAGGACCAACCTGCAGACAAGCTGTGGGCCAGAGCACAGAATGGTGGCAGCACCTGGGGCTCTGAGGATATTCTTAAACCATTGAAAAACTGTGCAACTTCTCCACCTTCCTCCAGACTTCCTGCTCAGTGAGATGAGGTCGAAATCCCTACTACTTACGCCACTTTCAGTTGGATATTCTGCCTTGGTTAGTCCTAACCCACATCCATGACCACCACCCTTTCTCTCTCTCCCTGGCCTTCTGTCTGCCTGTCTCCCGTCCTGCTCCTTCCCTCCAAGCCACATCACTCCAGGGCCAATTGCCCTGATGTAACCTCCACCATAGTGCCCTTCAACCCACTGCAAGAAGCCCAGGCTTCTGCCTCAACCCCCAGACTCCTCTGTAGACTCTTCACATGCAGACATACTGTCTGGCATATTCTACAGGGCAGCCCTGGAGAGACGTCTGTGTATGTGGTTTCATCGGTTTCCTAGAGCTGCTGTAATGAAGGACCACAAACTTGGTAGCTTACAACAATAGAAATTTATTCCCTCACAGTTCTGGAGACCGGAAGTCCAAAATCAATATTACTGGGCCAAAATCAATGTTATAACAGGCCCACGCTCCCTCTGCATGCTCTGGGGGAGAACCCATTCCTTGCACCTTCCAGCTCTGGTGGCTGCCAACATTCCTTGGCTTATGGCTATATCATCCCAGTCTCCAAGGCCAGCATTTTCAGCTCTCTACTTGGTGTTCACATTTCCTTCTCCTCTGTACATGTAAAATCTCCCTCTGCCTCCCTCTTATACATAGGATTGCATTTAGAGTCGACCCAGGTAAGTCAGGATAATCTTTCGTCTCAAGATCTTTAATTACATCTACAAAGATCTCTTTCTTCAAATAAACTAATACAGGTTCTAGGGATTTAGGACTTGACCCTTTTGGGGTGCTGTTCAGTCCACCACACACACAATGTGTGCACACTCCCTTCTATCATCTCTGTAAGGAGCTGCTCTGAGAGAGGGGAACTAGGGCCAGGGGGTCAGAAGCTAGAGGGGAATTCTTTTTTTTTTGAGATAGAGTCTCAAGCTGTTACCCTGGGTAGAGTGCCATGGCATCATAGCTCATAGAGAACTCCTGGGCTTAAGCAATTCTCTTGCTTCAGCCTCCCAAGTAGCTAGGACTACAGGCACCCACCACAACGCCTGGCCATTTTTGGTTGTAGTTGTCATAGTTCTTCGGCAGGCCTGGGCTGGATTCAAACCCGCCAGCTCTGGTATATGTGGCTGGCACCTTAGCTGCTTGAGCTATAGAAGCTGAGCCCATTTTTTTACTTTATATATTTCTTTGCTGTAAGAATTTTGTTTCAAATTATTATAAAACTCTCAATAACTTGTATCCCAATTTGCAACATAATTCATATTACCGCAAGGAATTTGTAAAAAGCAACACACTGTGTCTTAGGCCAGGTTCCCCAGAAGGAGACCCGAAGACAAGGATTTACGTGCAAGTACCTGATCAAGAAGTTCTATCAGTAAGGGAGTGGGGAAAGCCAGAAAGAAAAGACAGTGAGGACACAATTTTAAGCAATATCCCCTGACCAGTAACTGAGTCTGATCCTGTTGAGAGCTCTGGAGGGTAAGTGATGCT